CTCTGAACTGCACCGGGTGGCCAGGAGTTGGATGGCACTGATTCAATAGAGACCGTTTGATTGGGGAGGAGTTTATTTCTTTATTTATTTTAAAAATGTGAAAGATGAACTGAAGCGGGGTGACTTTCCAGTGAGGGTAATTTATCTCAGATTCCCATGGGATACAAATCTTGCCACCTGGCAAGCTCTGATGCCTATCAGGTGGAGATAGGTGCCTTCAAGCTGGGTCAGACTCACGGAGACCTACATGCAACACAAAAGAACCCTGCCAGGTCCTGCACCGTCCTCACGGTTGCTGCTGGGTTTGGGCTCGTTGCTGCAGCCACGGTGTCAATCTCTCTTGTCAAAGGCTTTCTTCTAAGACTTCGCCAAGGATGATGTCCTCTCCCCGGGCGGCTTCCTCCTGATAAAACGCCCGGGCACGTGACGCCAGGCCTTGTCCTCTTTGCTTCGACGGCTGTACTTCTTTTTTTTTTTTTCCATGAACAATTTTCATTTTATTTCCTTTCAGGTTTATTTTTCTTCAGCTTCTAATCTTTACATAGGCTTTGGAGGAGGTCGTGGGGCAGCACCTGCGGGTCTAAATCGAGGTGGGGGGGTTCGGTCCCTCCGGGCTTCACGTGACCGGTTTCTGACCACCTTGCAGTGAATGGCACAACTCACGCAGTCATGCAGCTTCACATACAGCTTGGGAAGCACGTATGCATCGAAGACACTCGCTTCGGAAATGTCTCTGATGGCCGCGGCCTCCACTATGTTCCTTATGACGAACTTCTTGATGGCTTTGTCTTTGGGCACGCAGCGGGCGCAGTTGGTGCAGCGAATGGGCTGCACATGGCCGCGGCCTTTCTTGGCACGGCCGTTGTTTCGCCTTTTCTTTGTCTCAGCTCACCATCTCGGAAGCGAGGACGCGAGAGAAAAAGCGGCTGTACTTCTTCCAAGACAGATCTGCTTGCTCTTCCGCAGTCCGTGGTACTTCAATATTCTTTGCCAACACCATAATTCAAACGCATACATTCTTCCCCAGCCTTCCTTGCTCATTGGCTAGTTTTCACTCGCAGAACAGGCGCCTAAAAATACCATCCCTTGGGTTGGGTGCACCTGTCCTCAAAGTGACCGTTCTGCTTCTTAAAGGGGGCAGCAGACTCGCCCACTGCAACATGTCGCTTCATCTCTTGACTGCTGCTTCCATGAGCACTGATTGTGGAGCTAGGCCAGACGGAAACCTTGAGCACTCTTTTCTCCACTTATCATGACACTGTCTATTGGTCCAGTTGTGAGGATGTCTATTTTCTTTAAATTGAGTCAGAGTTGAAAATAATGTAAGTACGGATATTATTTTCAAAGCAATTATTTTTTATTATCTAGGTGGTCCCAGCTACTCATCTATAAGTAGGAAGCATACAAGAATATTCTAGGTCAATGTCAAAGGTATAGCAAATCATTGGCCATTTCTTCCATGTAGTCACCTCACATTTCCCACTTTCTTCCAACTGTAGCAAGGACATGAGATCCCATGAATGAACTACAACTATCCAATTCTTTTAAGCCTCAACTCTGCCCTGATAATATTCTCTGCTTCTTCTTTCATATCAACTCCCTTTAAGCTAACAGGGATGTGTAAAAGGAACACAATTGCTGCCTCACCTGCTGCAGTGAGGCTGCAGTGAAGCCACGTCCTTCAGAGGCTCACCTTAGTGCTGGCCCCACATTTCTGTACAGAGAAGCAGGGCACCACCAGGGAGCAGTGTGTTGCCTGCTTTGAGTGTGGGCCTGAAGTTGTTTCCGCTTCCCGCTTTTATACACCTGGTCACCACTATAGAAGTGCCATCACGTAAGGGATCTGACAACAAAGATGTAAGATATAGCAAGATACAACTGTGGAGTTAAATGGTAATAGCAATAACTCTTTGTGTGTGGGGAGGGAGGGGCGGCTTCGATGGCATTTAGCATTAAGGAAGGAGGGAGAAGATGTGCTAATTCCAATTAAATACCTTGGAGATAATCAGAAAGGAAGAAAACAGAATCAGCAAAGTTCTCGAAAATTACATCTAATTCTCCTGGGTTGAAGCCTTCCCCCTTCCAGCCCCCAGCCCCCATCTCTTGCTTGTGCGTGCCCGTGCATGTGCACACACACACACACACACACACACACACACACACACACACAACCTACACTTACACCTATACTACACCTCTAAGTCAAAGTCCTGACATCTATTTCCAGCTTAACCATACACTGTGCTGGGTGACCTGGATCATATCACTCTTGGTAGTCTCTGCTTCCCCCCATGTGAAATGGAGAGAAAGTTATACATCGGAAAAAGGTAAAGTGAAACATTTTGTTACTCAGTATCTATAAAGTATCCTAGCTCATGAAGTGAAAAAACAAAATCTACTAACAGTTAATGTTACAACAATCTAGTAAAATGCTTTACAACACTAGAACCCAGTGAGCATTTCCCCTCGTGCATTTAGCAGTGCAGGGATTGTGTCCCATCTGATCCCATCACACCAGGGCCAAACACTAAGGGTGTGCAAGAGAGCAGCAAAGGGAACAAAGCAATGAAGTCCCCAGGAATACCAAAAATAGACTTTGGGGCCAGGGTGTGGCACCCCATCAAACTCCACCAGAAAACACTCCTAAAGGTCAACAAACAGACCTGGAGCTATTATAGGCTTTTCCGTTTTTGTTTTTATTTTATTTTTTGTTTTCTTTTGCTCTGTCTTATTTTTGTGTTTATTGTTGTCTCTGTGTGTCTCTCTAGATAAGATAGGCGGGATAAACAATCTGGAGGATAAAACAATGGGGCTGATGGTTCGGCGGTGGGGGGGGGGAGAGACATGGGAGAGGAGGAAGCGAGGGAAAGGAATGGGGTGTCAACCAACCCAGGGAGAAGAGAACAACAAGTAATCTAAAATTGATCGCCAGGAGAGTACAGGATGTCTGGTAGGGCTTGATCAGGGCCATGTAACTTAAGAGTAATTACTGAAACCCAAATGAAGGCCGAACATGATAGTGGGACAAAAAGAAAGTAACATAGAGTAAAGAACTAGGAGGCAAAGGGCATTTATAGAGGTCTAAATACAGGCATGTACATCTGTAAATATATTTGTATAAAGGATAAGGAAATAGATCTATGTACATATATTTATATGTTAAGTATTAAGGAAGCAGATGGACATTGGGCCTCTACTCAAGTACTACCTCAATGCAAGAACACTTTGTTCTATTAACCTGGCATTCCGTGATGCTCACCTTACCGACAAACTCGCTGAAGACAAAATGGGTACATGAGCATATATGATGAAGAAAGTGGATGGTGCCTGGCTATCAAAAGATATAGCGTCTAAGGTCTTAAAAGGCTTGAAGATAAACAAGCAGCCATCTAGCTGAGAAGCAACAAAGCCCACATGGAAGAAGCACACCAGCCTGTGTGATCATGAGG